GGGATATAAAGCAGAGGATACCGCAGGGTCGTGTCGCCTTTAATAAAAAGAAGTCACTTCTATGCTCGCGAACGGTTAATTTAGAAATTCGAAAAAGGTTGTTAAAGGTGTATGTTTGGAGCACGGCGTTGTACGGGTGCGAAACATGGACAGTGGGAGCGGCGGAAAAGAAAAGGTTAGAAGCGTTCGAAATGTGGTGTTATAGGCGGATGATGAGGATATCGTGGGTAGAAAAGGTTAGAAATGAAGAGGTATTGGAAAGAATAGGAGAACAGAGGACTCTATGGAAGTCAATAAAAAATAGGCGAGATAGGTTGGTAGCACACCTTCTCAGGCATGAAGGTCTAGTCAGAGACATATTAGAGACAGAAACAGGAGTTAGGAGGGGTAGAGGTAGACCTAGGTTAGATTAGTGTTCACAAATAGTTAAGGATGTGGGTTGTTCTAGTTTTAGGGAAATGCGAAGATTAGCTCAGGATAGGAAAGAGTGGGGGTACGTGTCCAACCAGTCTTAGGACTGACGACCCTGTGATGATGATGATGAGGAACATTTGTATAAAAATAAATTCTGACGACGCCTTGCGTCCGCTCCATGCCATCCTTCCAATTCCGATATATGTGCACGTAGGTAACTTAACACGGCTATTAATATGATAAGAGTAAATTATACGAATACATAGCAATGATACATTAATAATACAAATAACGATAAATGGAACATATGGTATTTTTATTCTTTCCACTGGGAAGTTAGTTATGTGGTCTCCAACTTCATGACACTATCAGATGTTAACATTTGTTAATTTATTTATATGTATTGTGTTTAAACCATCCGCCGTTCTGTCCTTAACCACTAGTCTTGTATACAATTAGATTGAAGAGCCTCACAATTCTTAACTAATATGAATAACAGTGGACTCTTTGTGTAGATGACAGTAAATCCGGGTGCTTTACCCTTGAAACGCTTCGTCTAAATGGATTTTGAGCGTAGCGCAAATTTCAAGACCAAAATGGGGACAAGAAGTCCACGACAACCTGCCGCGAAGTAAAACAATGGGGGTCATAATTAACTGAGAGAATGGATGCATTGCTTCATCGGAAAACATTGTATACACTACCGTAATAAAAAGTTTCACACCAAGAATAGTTTCGTTGCTAGGATTGGATGATCATTAATAAATTTAGCAATTTAACGATTGTCAATTGTAAGAGAATAATCGATTATTTCGATTATTGCATTATTTCGGTTCATCATCATAAGGTCGTCAGTCCTAAAACTTGTTTGGTCGCGCATCTCCTTTCATATCCTGAGCTAACCTTCCCATTTCCCTAAAAATAGAGCATCCCATCACATCGTTTGTGATCAGTAATCCGGATCTACATTTACTCCTCTTAACTCCTGTTTCTGCATCCAATAGTTATTTAAATATTTCGATTAATCGGTCATTTTTAAAAATTGAATATAATCGATTAATCGAAATTTGCTCAACCCTATCTAATGAAATAGATCTATATATTTAATAGCAATTTAGAAATAGTATTTGCATAGATCACATTATATGCATCAAATATCAAAGGTTTCATCATTTACTTTTTCATTTATTAAAGGAAGAATGCGGGACGACTAGGCACACGGATCATGTGTGAAATATTTGCTTGGAAAGATTCTTGCAGATGAGTATTTCGCAAGTAAAAGGTATAAATAGTCGTGAGTGGTTTCAAATGAATGGAACACGTATCTCTATGTGCACAACATTCAAAAGTATCGAAAAAAATCATCCTACCACCATCCTCATGACTAATAGTACAGGAATATTTTGAGTAAAATCGAGCCCAAGCTTTTAGTCGTTCAATAATCCTACAGGTTTTTTTTAAGGTTAAAAACAGGCGAGAACATAAACTGTGTAATATCTTATGTAATTCTCTTTAATATAACTTATACTGAATTCATACAATGCTAAGACATCCATTTTTAGATTGGTTGGCTATCTATATTTCTATCTTCTTATTTGACTAGCCTAACTGTAAAAACTATTGGCCTTATTGTTGGATTTTAATAGACTAATAACCAACTCATTAATTTTCAAAAGAAGCTCGGAAATAAAATAAACTATCTGATAAAAAAAATACATCGAAGTAGCCACATCATTTATTGATTAATTTTAAATTGTTTCAGATCATTTTCAGCCTTTTACTTCTACAAAGTGGTCACATTGGAAAAGTCCAATAAAAAAAGTACTACATTTCAAATTAAAGTTAATTGACCTTTATCCAGTAACCTTTGTAATGTAAAACGTGATCTCACGGTGCCATTAAGCAACCAAAACGCGTCGCGGCGCATGTCGTAACAGTACATAAATACAACACACGTGCACGCAAAGCACATACACAACCCCTAGTTTAATTACACACTTTTATTCCATTGCGAATTTCAATTAGAACAAATTCCAACATAATTAAAATGCGGTTGTTCTGTTTCGCCTATTCATGACCAAAATGTACGTACGGTTGTAAACTTTTAATTTAACTTGAACAATAAATGTCTGGCGAAATAATGTCATTTCGAATGTCGAAAAAAAATGGAAGAAAAAGTACGAAATTGTACCTATATATTGTACAGACATTGGTACAATGTTCCTAAATCAAATATCTGCGAAATAACGTCCCTCCGCTACCTGACCGACCAGGGTTCGACGAACTACAATGGGGTAATATTAATCATTAATGGTAATTCAGTAAATTGGAATTCATTTGATTAAATTGCTGGCACATACCTAAATGAAGAGAAATGTTAGGGGAATGAAGAATGTATACGTATATAGCATATAGGAACTTCAAGACTTTGATAAATGAACTTCTCGAACAAAAAATTAAGATAATGGATTTACAAATGCGTTCCTGCTTACTTAAGAAAGCAATAGTCTTTGAAATACTTAAATCAAATGATCATTCCGATTCATACATTGTTACTACAGAAGATGGTAGAATAAATTAGCAATTTCAAAATCAAATAACTCATTGGTTTCCAATCCCATCTCGCATCAAATGATATTAAATTGACCAAAACAATGCTCTCTTTAATGTGTAATTGATTATTAATCAGATGTAAACAAAATAGAACGTCAAAGACCCAAAACAGTTTCGCAAATCCAACGTCGAAAAATTGGACAATTGGATCATTACAGGGAATCACCAATATTTTGGTTTATGACCAAGAAGCTGGAAATCAATCAGCCAACTGTATGCCCCTGATAATTTTTGAATGTTGGCATCCTATGGGTTACATTCAATTAATGATCAATTGGACACCAAAAAGAGGATTGTGTTTCAATCGATTTGATCATTTAACGCAAAATTTGATTAAAATCTACTGAGTTATTTGACTTAGAAGTCTTCCCTTTATTCTTTCTTGCTTGTAAAATTGTTCCCTCTATATCAAACAGTTGATTAGAAACATCGAGTCATAACTCAGAACAGTATTTCAAGAATTTACCTAACCTCAGTTTTTAAATCGAAAATTATTTGAAATAATTAACTCGAACTTCCTTTAAATCAAATAGCTGATGATAGATGATATCAATTCAATTTACGATTAGAAGGAGTTGATTATATAGCAAATTTTACAATTCCACGTCAAATACAAGGAATAAATGAATTTTTAGGTTTCCAAAATACTGTACCTACCCGTAGGTCATAACCGCTTTTCTAGGAAACTAGTAAACATATTGATCCTTATATTTTGTAATTATTTATTACCGTTTCAAAAATAAACTGACATATACATATATTGCAAAGAGGGCAATTTTAGTACGAGAAAAACAGAATATAAAGAGATCCTTAGGAAAAAATATTTCTTTTTTTTTTTTCGAGAATAACATGACCCTCTCGATAATTATTAAAAAAAAAAACAAAAACCCATCAATATAATATGAACTTAAAATAAGTTTAATTATTTACCTAACATGTAAATGTAGCTTTTATTGTTTTTTGATGGTGTCGAAAAAACCTAAGATTTTATTAGGTGAGGCAATTGAAATGAGATATAGGTGTCTTAAAATCTAACTGAACCAAAAAATATTCCAATGGTATAATTTATTATAATGCAACAGATTAAAAAGTGGAAGTTAATGCAGTGGAACCGATATTTAGTACTATATAAGAAACTGTGTAGGAATGTCCAGTAATTTAATTTTTGCAAAATATGGAATTAATACTACAGTTTCTCTCTATAGTACAGATATATAATGTATTTGATGCACATGACCCTCAGCGTATGAGTTAATTTGCCGTTATTAGGTTTTTATTTTTTAAAGTTACCTACATTGTAGTTATTGCTTTGTTATTTATTAGCATTCATTTTCTAAGACACGTGCTCAAGTGTGCACCGCTTTAAAGTTGTTTAACAGAATTGTCCATAAAGTGCAAAGTTGCCTATATTATATAGTATCTTTTCTTGTAAATGCAATAAATTTCCTTTAGTTAATGGAGCGGTCACTGTATGCCTATGGTTAGGAAAACTTTTTCTAAGGTTAAGTGGTTTGAATGATACACTCGTTCGTGCTCGTGATAAACAAAGTGTAATAAAGAACGGTTTTGAGTGAATTAAAATCGGTTATAGACTTTTGAGTGTTTTGAGATATTTTTCGTTTGATATTTAATCTTTTAATACAAAAGTGCAGTATTTTAATAATTAAAAGTTAAATAACCGTTTGTAAAAGGATTTGTGCTTTTAACATCTACCTACTTTTACATGGAACTTCAAGTAAACAGGTTAGTAATTTATACAAAAAAAGTACATTTATTTAATTTTTTCTTACCCAGAGTTATGAAAAACTTTGTAAACAAAATGCACTATTCAATATTCCAAAACATTTTTTCCTTTCAAAATTTTTTATTCTATTAACTATTAATNTAATTATTAGATAGTTTTGATTTATTCTTTGACAAGAATTAATTTAATTCATGTCACATAAAAGGGAAAAACCAATGAAAGCAAGATATGTACCACAAAAAAATATTTATTATTTATACAATGTAAATTAGCTTAAACTAGTTAGGGATGGAAAAGGATTTTGTTTACTAACAACTAACTTTTTATGTTGATGTGAAATGTATCCTTTGATCTTGTTTTCATAAATTAAATTGGCTACTATACACTGCGTTTCGTCTAAATCGACATCGGTTTGGCCTAAATAAACGAGGGCAGTTTGAAACGCGTCTATAGGTATTTGATGAGTATTGAGAATTAAGTAAACTCTTCTAAATAAATTACGATAAGCCAAAATTTTCAATTTATCCACTATCAAATAAATGCCACAATTGATAAAGAACGCTTCATGCTTTTCCATTATTTCATCAAAAAGCTTTAGATTTCCTTGACAAACGGCTTGAACTAAATCCCAAAACTCCAGGACATTGTACTTTTCAAGTACTTTTTTATTAGGAATATAACCCAACAGCATCTTCACAGGTACCAAATAAATTAATATTAATCTTTTATTCCTTCTACTGCTTCTATGGCAATTTTCAAAGGCATATGTTAGATATTCATCTGCAGCTTTATAATCACTATCAAACATTGCTTTCCTTCCCACAAAATACCGGTAAGTTATCTGTTGGCTCAAAGAAAAACTCTCTTTGAACGGAGACGATTCTATAGCCCTTATAAGAGGTTTACATAAATGCAATTTATTTATTCGAAAGTATACTTTAAAAAGTTGATTTACAAGATTCAGCATTCCCAACCTTTTAGTATCTTCTTCAGAAGATCTGTTATCAGCAGCACATACTCGAAAGCAGCCCATAAGACACTCTGCTGCTTTCTCTAAAATTTCACCGGGTTTTTCATTTACACCAGCTCTTTCTTTTTCTGCTCTTTGAGCCAATAATCTCAAATCCAAACACACTACATACATAACAGGCAATAGCCAATTTTCTTCCTTTTGAGACTGCAATACCCTTGCTATACACTGTGTTAGATTGCTTTGCTGTTGATAAGCTTGAATGTACTGGTTATTGCTGATAAAAAAGATGCACTTTAAGTGATAAGACGCTAGTTCGTCGACTGGAGATGAAATAAAACGCTCTATCATACTTTCAGGCCTATCAGTATAAAGATGTTTACTTCTTGTGTGTTCATGTCTTAACGAGAGGAATGATGCTAACTTTTCTCCATCCTGTGCTTTCCAACAACGTTCAATAAGTTGAAGATAATGAGCCAACATTATCTGAGCCATTTTCTAAAAATTAACAGTGCATTTGTAGTTTTGAAATGATGACTGGTAACTTTACTCGATTACAACACATTGAAAACACAATTTCATTTACGACTTACAATTAAATTAGTACTTACTTCATCTAGTAAATAGAGTTCTTTCTTAAAAAATCACTTATCTTGACCAAATAATCACATTTTGTTTTGAAAATAGTAATTTAACGATATAACCTAACTTTATACCTAACCAACAAAAACAAAACAGTGTTCATAGATAATACCTGATAATACACAGTGTCTAACGAATCGATATGGCAGTGGCACTTACTAAATCGTAATTATCATTTAGCCATTGCCTAATAACTAGACTGTTACTGATAACACAAAATTATGATAAATAAAAATTGTATAACAGGTTTATGAAGTGAATTAAATGAAAAAGGTGGATAAATAATGTAAAATACATGCGCTAATTTTATAAGGATGTACGCTTATTGATTTATTAAATCTATTGGGAGGCGTCCTCTGCGCTATAAGCATCAATTTTCGCTGTTTCACTGTAGCGAACTTCTTAAAATAGCAAACGTTCCTTGGGGAAAAGTAGGAATGTAAACTTGCGAATCAGACACATCCTATAAAGTGTAGATGGCGCCACATCAACTACAAAACTTCAGGGAAACAGGCGGGAAAGTTACTTTTCAAATTCAAATAATTAAAGTTTAAATCACGTTATTTAAGACGGTAACAATTTAAAGAGAATGAAATGGCTAAAATTAAAAAAAAAATATTTGTCTGTATCTGTTACACAAAACGATTTTGAAATTTATTCATATTTTACTACAATTTTGAGTTTTTTTTTATTAGGAATCAATGAATTATAACGTGATATTGATTTTTAATAATCAGTTTGAATTTCTTCAATGCAATTGTCTGTTACGTATGTATAAATGGTTAATGGTTAAAAGATTACTTTAGAGCAGTTTTATTATTCTCCAATTTCTATAGCACCAATGGTAGTTAATATTGATTTTTCAGAAACAGTTTTTTTCCAACTGTTGTATTCGTTATTAATAACAATAATTTATTGTGATATACAACGCTACCTTTTACAATACCAAAATTAAATAAATGTCCCATTACCTGTTTTTCAACAGCTAGTCAATTTCGATTTTATGTGAGCACGGGCTGCTTCAAACAGTTTTCAACATCAAAGGAAAATTTATAGATATTATCTCATCTACTGAAAAAATAATCGCCAATATTTTTTCGACCAATATAATTTTGTTACCATTCATTTAATATCAAATGAAATTTAAGTAATGAAATGCTAATACTTCTTCACCGATGTATAAAACATATTATAAATATTTTTGCAATTTTCTTTATTTAAAAATTTCTCAAAATAAAAAGAACACATCCTTAAAGTACTTACCTAATTTTGGAAATATTACAATTTTACCAAAATTTCATTTATTTAAGTCGTCAAAGTACTCAGGCAAAAACGATCAATTTTCTCATTTTTATATAAATTAAACTGTAAATTATTAAAAAATGCTAGCTTTCATTATAATAATTATGATAATTATCATAAATTGGTTTTTTTTTAAATCTAAACTTTCCAATGAAATAAACTGTTAATAAATTACTGCAGGGATTTCTTAAGCTATGTAAGAGGCTTTGCTAATAATTGTATCAGATAAGGATGTACGTAAAGACTTTCATAATTATTGTTTTAAAAACTTAAAAAAAAACTAATTAAATTACAAATAGGTGGTTTCTTAGTTTTATTTTTTACTAATTTAATGAATGAGAAAAGTGTTATTCAAATAGGTTATTAATTAAAAATTTATCCATGATTATAGCCCATTTGACTCCCTTATGTGAGCCACTGGTAATTACAAGAAAATGTGGTATATCATAGTAAGTTTTAGGATTCACAACTCAACAAATTATTATTTAAGTAAACTCGCAACTCAATTACCTTACAAAGAATGTTTGTTCATACACACCACTGGGGGGTTGAATATCGAACATAAGGGCATTCTCTTAAGTATTTAGTATCTTTTGAAAAGTACGACGTGGTAAAGGGAAATTGGTACAAATACCTTGAGTCGTCTTCTCATGTAAATAATGAAGTAATAAACGTAATTTAGAAATTCGAAAAAAAGGTGTATGTTTGGAGCGCGGCGCTGTATGGGTGCAAAACATGGACGGTGGACGCAGCGGAAAAGAAAAGGTTAGAAGCGTTCGAATTGTGACTACAGAATGAGAATTCCGTGGATAGAGAAGATTAGAAATGAAAAGATATTAGAAAGAACAGGAGAACAGAGGACTCTACGGAAGTCAATAGTCAAGAAATAGGCAAGATAGGTTGGTAGGACACCTTCTCAGGCATGAAGGTCTAGTTAGAGACATATTAGAAGCAGAAACGGGAGGTAGGAGGGGTAGAGGTAGACCTAGATTAGATTAGGGTTCGCAAATAGTTAAGAATGTGGGATGTTCTAGTTTTAAAGATTAGATCAGGATAGGAAGGAGTGGAAGTGCGTGTCCAACCAGTCTTAGGACTGACGATCTTATGAAGATGAAACGTAATTTAAAGATTTTCAAAAAAATTGGTCTATTTTTAGAGAAGCAGGTAATATTTTCAGATAGACATGCTTGAAAAAATATTTTCCACACTTTCACTAAATTAGGCGTTTTTGATCGTGCGGCATAAAAAATAATATGGCGGTAAACAAATGTGTAATTTCTATGTTTGGTGAATGTTTTGCCTTACTTGTAGAAACTTATACCTATAATAACAGTACACTCGAAGCAATCGAATTATCGCCTTTTTATGTACACGTTTCGCGTGTTGTAACTTCTCCATTCGTTTCATTAATCTGTTTTAAACTTGGTTTATGCTTACTACCCCGTAAAAGTACCACACTTCCCCATAATATGTATCAGAGTGTAGGTAACACGTTTATTCGCTGCTCTCTGGTATGCTTTTATTATGCAACTTCCGTGTTGTCTTTCAAAACCGCGGTTCTTTGAAGTGCTAACAAAATTTTCAAAGCTTCATTGATCACATATAACCGCGGAACCGAAAACCCTTTCGTAATTCAATCGACTACATACGGTTCGATTGGAATCATATCATTCTAAAATTTACATATCCATACATCAATGAGGCCGTGACAGGCTCCCCTTGTCCTATTTTTCGTTAGCTATAGCAAACAGTGTATCAGTTGTTATTTCACCATGAAATCAGCATTTTTAACTGATTCATGAATTATTGTGTGCTAACGTGATCAGTTCCCATTAGCTAGTTCAGTATTCTATCAGTGAAACTTGTTTAAACGAGCCAAGCAAACATCTTTGTGATCGAAAACTCATTGCCATTCTTAGTTGCAGATAATAAAGCATTGTTACAATTTCAAATATTATTTTTGATCGTTGATGTTCTCATAAATCCCTGATTTTTGTAAATTGCTATTTGAAATAGTGAAAATCTGCTCCAATTTAATTGAGTGGTTCATGACGTCTAGATAAAAGACGTTTTTCACAAAAATCATCAAATCTCATCAGTTTTGGTGTTGGTAATGTTATTAAATCAGTTTACGATGAAGACTGCATCATACTGGTCTTCAGAATTTAGAATAACAAACAATCGAATAGATATTTTTTATTTTGGCAAGAAAATGTCACATTAAAGAATGCCTTGGGTACAATTAGTACAGCGATAGAAGGGAAAAAGTGACATTCAATAAAATGCGGTTAGAAGTGGTGAAGTGCCCCTTCGGTATAGTATCAACAGAGCCCTTTTTGACACATTCTCTGAAGAGCTATTTAGAAATGCATCGAGTGAACGGATGGAATAAAAATGATGGTGAAAATCCAATCAATATCAAATATGCTGATGAAACAGCTATCTTAGAATAGAATATTGAACAGCTTCAGAATTAAGAAGGAGATTACGGTAGAAAGTCATAAAGAATTAAGTATATAAAAGACGATCAATTAAACGATTCCATATAAAATTGGTATCCACGATGAGCTAAAGAATAAGTAGTAAATGGTCGGTATTATTTCATTACGAAATGAGATAAGTACTCCGCTGAAACGATAAAAGAGCATTTGAACAAGACCTGTTCTCAAGCTTTTTCTGACCATCAAAAATCACATGAACAACTGTAGAAAACTTTTTCCTGAAGTCACACCAAGTGGTGTAAATAATTCAAAAGTTCTATTCAAAAATGAATGACGCATTAATAGACACAATTTTAAACCTAGTAAACTGATAATGGACGGCGGGCGCGGCGAAAAAGAGAAGGTTATAAGCGTTCGAAATGTGATATTACAGGCGAATGATGAGGATACCGCGGATTGAGAAGGTTAGAAATGAAGAGGTATTAGGAATTATGAGAGTAGAGGACTCTATAGAAGTCAATAGGTTGATAGGACTCCTTCTCAGGCATGAAGGTCTAGGTAGAGGCAGATTAGAGGCAGAAACAGGAGTAAGAGGAGTAGAGATAGGGCTTAGGTTAGATAATTAAGGATGTTCTAGTTTTGCATAAATGTGAAGATTAGCTCAAGATAGGAAAGAGTGGAGGTGCGTGTTCAACCAGACTGGCGATCTTATGATGATATAATGATACTGAAGTACAGTACGTACTTGAAGAAGAAGATGAAGAAAAGGAAAACGAGAAAAGAAGGAAAATAAGAAAGACATTTAACTGGCTGCTGACTGCCGTCGTCTATTGAATATGAAGAATCAAGCTTTAACGAGAATTCTATTCAGTGCCGAACTGGTCCAGGTGGCCGGGTGTCAATCGTCACCGGGGCCAAGTGAAAGGTTTAACCTTTTATTTCTAATCATCAATTTTCAAAAATCACTTACCTAAGAGTGCTTGAAATAGCCGAGATTTGAATATCCTGATAACTCTTTCTATCGCTAGTCTGAGCTGTTTATCTTGAGGCTTCGTCAGTTTAGAATGATAATCTTCTAATAATTCTAGTGCCCTGTGAGCTTCTGCAACAAACAAAATTTATTTATTTTTGTATTAATTTAATGCATCAGAAAATATCGAAAATTCGTTCAACACCGTTCCATAGCTTATATATATTCTACGAAAATGTTAGAGAAATCACCTACTTAAAAATAAATACAATTTGGTTTATCAAAGTAGTAGACGTTAGCCTAAGAAAGGCAAACGATAATCTTCCCGAAGGGGGTGGGGGTGGGTGGGATCGAAAGAGGAGGTCTCCCCCACCACTGTACCATAAAAAGTTCGTGGCAGTCTCATCCCATAAAAAGTTATGGAGGTAAAACGGGGGTGGGGGTAGGGGGGATCGAAAGAGGGTAGGGGGATCAAAAGAGGGTGGTCATCTGAGTAAAAACCCATAAAAAATTTGCGGCGATCTCACCCCCATAAAAAGTTATGGGGGTTGAAAGTTGATTATTTTGACAATTTTCATACACTATAATTCAAATAAAATTCAATAAAAAAAANCCTCATGTCTATTGAAAACTTCTTTCGGCTATCCTTTCGGTATACATACGTGATAATTTCTAATTAACATTAATAATAACAAGGGTGATATTAGTAAATAATTATAATCTGACTCAAAGCGTATTTCGTTAATGTTCGGGTTTATCTGGTATAAAACAGCGAGGTAATTAATTCTCAAGCTGTGGAACAGAAAAAGTTGTCGATATATTAGTACTAAAAACATTTTCCCATGATAAGGAGTTAATACTGCTTTCAATTTGATTGTTACTGAGCTAATTTTATGCTATCTGGATTCGATTTCCGGCGAGGGTATGACAGCAGTAACAATTTTTGCTCATTAATTTGATGTAATTTATAGTGGATAAAAGTCAAGAATGAATTTTTACATTAATATTTACTATTAACCACCAGGAAACTTCAAGTGCTTCATTCTTTTATGTTCACGATTCCTTTTGTCAAAGGGTCCGCTTGCTTGCGCTTATCCAATCTACACCTGTTGCAGTTCCGCATTGTAACAATTACACTTTGAATTTTAATCCTTTTAATCAGTTTTACTTTTGATAAACTTACACTAAAGCTATGGGCGTAGCAAGTGATTTTTCCTAAGGTGGTGGGGGAGGGGTAGATTTTCAATAGACGTAAAGAAGAGGAATTAGGAAGTTTAATGTGTTTGGTTTCTGTTTTCAAATACTGTGCCGATATTGTGAGTCATCAGAGCATCTTCCTAAGGGGAGTGCCAGTGCCCCTTTGCCCTTACCTGTCTGCACCCATAAGCAAAACTGCTGAAATAAATCGTTATGCTACTTGTCCTTTCCAAATTCAAAAGTAACAAAAGTAAAACTGATAAAAAATCAAAATACAGATCAGTTACAATATTGTGGAGACTGCAACAAAATATATCTACCCCTTCAGGTGGCATTATTCATTAATAATAGACGGAAGGGATGGAAACACTTCGATTGAATACATTAAAAACTACGTCGTTTTAGGCTTTTGGATCCTTCTAACATTCTAAGGGGACCCCGAGAGTTCTGTAGAACTTTTCATTACATTTCAAACTTTCGGAGAATTTTTTTACCAACAGTCCCACAATGTACTAAAATCGATTCAAAAGTTATCCAAATTTGCGTAATTTAGTTACTAGGTTAGTAGTAAAAATGACACCACCAATTTTGATCTTTTAAAAATAAAGATAACAGTTAAGGTGTATCGCAATTTTTCGAAGTTGAATTCTGTTCTGCCGTTTGAACGCCTCCGTCCTTCTAGCGGAAGAACATAAATTTATGGTATGGGTTCATCTGGTAGGACCAATTTCAAAAGTACATCAAGAAGCACTTCCAGCAGGACAACTTCATATACGTTCTACCTTAAAGTGAAGGGTTTTATAAAATGAACAAAAGTAACTGACAGAAGCGTAATCTGCATAGGGTCGCGTAATATGAAGTGCGAATCGTAAGACGTCACCAAGTTGTGCTCGGTGATCCGTTGCGCAGTAAGGCAGTGCGCATCCGAGAGTGATGTGCAACGGACCGTTTCATATTAAATCCTTTATTAGTGATTATGCTTTTTAGACCAATTCGTTTCGAATTAAGTTACTGCTCCTGTCTCTTTAAGTGGTCTTTTTGACATCACATTGTAACACGTACGTTTACGATTCTTTCTAAAAATGTTACCTATCAAGTTCAATTCACTTGGAACTTAATATAGATAAGTATTAATTTACTGTCTTTATTTGTTTTCATTTTTACCCTTAAGTATTTCGTAGAAAATCTCTTTTATCTTCGTTAATAGTGATGGAAATTAATTAAAGAAACGCGAAATTCATTCGGAGAGTAAATTGGAAGCTTTTAGATGATGAAGTATTGAAGTAAAAATGAAATAATTTACTTTTTCGTAATTTCAAGACAGATATAGCTTCTCAACGTTTCCCATTTGAAATTTTTCTTGTCGATGCTCCTGCAGGAAAGTTCAAGAAATAAATTATATCGAGAAATCGCCAGACATCAGTTATTTGAAGAGAAAAAAACGACTATTGATCGGCAACGGTCGCAAGGTTCACCTTCAATGGTAGACATTTAATCATTGTGATTACCGGTTACGGAGATCAACAAAAGAAGCAAACTACTTAAATAAATTCAGCTTCAGTTCACTACTGTTCGACAGAAAACTCCGATAAAAGGCGAGCCAAATGATAAGAAAACGACGGAAAGTTGAAGTTCATAATACGCGAAATCTTTCAATTAAATATATACATATATCGTGGAAAATTTAAGTGAAATTCTCTGAATTCGGATCGCTCTAGTAGGCATATTAAAATACAAATTTACCCTTACATCTTTAAATTTTTTTTATGATTTGCTCTTCACTAAAAATAAGAATGGTGACAGAGTGGATAGAAGAGGTTATAAATGAGGTGGCAAGAATTGGAAAAATTAGGACAACAACGAGCGCTATGGAAGTCAATAAGGAAAAGGAGAGAGTATATAGTAGGACACCTATTGAGACATAAAGGGCTGTATTTAGGGACATTCTAAAAACAAAGGCAGGAGTAAAGTGGGACAGAGCAAGACTTATAGATATTAAATTAGTGTTAGCAAGCAGTTTTCGGGATGTGCACCGTTAGAGAAGTTGCTGAGGACCTAAACATATCGATTGTCTCCTAATTCGTACCAAAATTGCTCGACAAAATACAAAATCGCATTAACATTGCCCAGGAGCTGTTGGACTCTGTCCGCGACGACCCAAATTTGCTCCAGAGGGTCATAACTGGTGACGAATTATGGGCTTATGGTTATGACTAAAGCTCAATCATCCAAATGGAAGCTACCGAAAGATCCAAGCCCGAAAAAAGCGCGTCAAGTTAGGTCGAGTGTGAAGGTTTTGCTTACAGTTTTCTTCGATTGCAAGAATGTGGTGCATCATGAGTTTTTGCCACAGGGTTGAACGGTCAATAAGGATTAATACCTGCCAATTATGCGCAATTTGTACAAAGCAATCCGCCAGAAACGACCGGATTTATGGAAGAACAAAAATTGGCTTTTGCACCATGATAACGCCCCTGCTCACACATCGTTCCTTGTGCGCGAATTTTTGACTAAAAACAACACACTAATGATGCCGCAGCCGCCGTATTCCCCAGATCTGGCCTCCTGTGACTTTTTCTTATTCTCGAAACTGAAGAGACCCATGAAAAAACGACGCTACACTACGATTCAGGAGATAAAGACGACATCAATGAAGAAGCTGAACAGATCACAAAAAATTATTTTTTGAAGTGCTTCGAGGATTAGAAAAAGGGTTGGCACAAGTTTATAGGGGACAGAATAGATGTTCATCAATAAATAAATAATATTTGATAAAACACAAAATTCGCGATACATTTTGAACAGACCTTTGTGAACTGATGCTGTTATAATTCGGCCCTAGAGGCCGTCGTGTGTTGCGAGTTGCTTCTCAACGTTTCGTTAGCACTAGTGGCGAACTTCTTCAATGGACATCCTTCCATCTCCGACGCTGGATACGGACTGTTGATTTCTCCCGCGCAAGGGAGTGGGGTTTGTTTCGGATCAGTCAATCTGTACCATTCGACTAATCTTGAGGATCGGGTTCCAGATATAGTTCAGTCTGAGGGTCTCCTCCTTCTTGTTGAACTTCTCTGAATATATTTTGGTCTCGATGGCCTCTATAACCATCCTGCTGTGATAGCCATATATCGCACAGCAGCTTCGAGATCCAAAAACATCCGAAGAACTTCAACTAGAAGGAGAAGACTCTCAGATGGAACCAGATCTGGAATCCAAGCCGGAATAACACCCAGAATAAACCCATCGACATAAATACAACTTGCGCAGGAGAAATCAGCAGTCCACATCCAACGTTGGAAATGGAAGGAGCTATGAAAAAGCTCACCACTGGCGCAAACGAAACGCTAAAAGGCAACTTCAATGCACCACGGCCTTTAAACACGAACTAGAACAGCAATCAGTTCACCTATTGACCGTGAAAGCTTTACCAATTTGTCTCATATATCTGTATAAAAGAATAACCTGACTGACACGTATCAGAGCGCAGCCCAAACCGAAAACCTCTGAGTCTAGAGACTTGAAGTCTAGAGGGATGAAAAGGGGATTCAAAGTTTGAATGTTTAATGTATCGATCAGGCAGGAAGCTTGAAAGTTAGCACAAAGGTACGTTATATAACGGTAACATTCAGTTTTCAAAAAAATACCACCCGATATAATCGAATTCCAAATGGACGAACTAGTGGCTAACAGTTAGTTTTACATAAAACGTACATAGGCTGATAACACGGATATCAGCCTATGAACCATAAACTAGACAATAATTGAGACTAGCGTTCTTTTTTCCAACATGGAGTACTTGTGAATGAAAGCTCGGTGATGTATCTATATAAGTATATAGATGTGTATATACTTTAGATAGATGCGTTTTCACCTGCCTACATACATACATTATAAATACATGCGGTTGAACGATGATTTGCATAGACGGTTGCTAT